CAAACTGAACACATGGGCACATGGATGAGTGCATGCACCAAGGTCGACAGATTGTGTCAGTTTCCTGGGTGTCATATTGTCCTAGATTTTGTAACAGTTTTTCCACCAGGGGAAGCCAGGGGAAGAGTACAAGGGCCACCTTTATTATTTCTTACAATTATATGTGAATCTACAGTTCTTTTAAAACAACACATTTAAAAAACTTTGAAACATGTTAAGAAATGTTTATTATGCACCCAGGTTTTCCAACGCACCTCACAGAGGGCGAGGTGGTGTGAACATATGGTATCCCACCATGTGGATACCCATGTCCAGTTCCATGTCCACTGGCATGTCTCAGGACAGGTCCTGTGCTGGGCACTGCCCAGAGGGTGGGTGCACAGGCTGGGATGCTGGCTGGGTGCCGGCCCAGATGCCGGCCCAGGATGCTGGCTGGGATACTGGACATGGATGCTGGCTGGGATCCTGGACAAGGATGCTGACTAGGATACTGGACAAGGATGCTGACTGGGTTACTGGACCAGGATGCTTGGCTGGGATACTGGACTGGGCACTGGCTGGGACATTGGGCCAGCTGACCTGCAGGGGGCAGCCTGGCCACATAGGGATGGGCCATGGTGGAGGCTTCACTGGGCTCAGCTTCCCAGTCCCAGCTGTGAGAGAACTAGCTTCTCTTCCTTCCTCTGCCCCTCATGAGTGTGCGCACCCACACAGGCACATGAGCACACACACACACACACACACACACACACACACACACACACACGTGTCCCACAGCCCATGAGCTCATTCTGCCCACGGCTGGCAGGCTGGGTGGGATCCTTTCTGCTTGAGCTCTTTGTCCAGCTCAGTTTCAAATGACTCATGAGTGGCTTTCAGCATTGCCCCCAGGGGGACCCCCGCTTGGCCCCATAAACCTTCCCAATTAGGCAATATTTCCTGATAAGCGCTGCTTGCCCGCGCCTTCCAGACCACCCGGAGAACTGCACCCCCACCCTGTCCTGGCAGTAGCTGGCAAGACTTCCCCAGGCTGGCCTCCCCGAGTCTCCCAGAACTCCACCTTCATTGCCTTAGACTAGGAAACTGAGGGTCCCAGTGGGGGTATGGATTGGGTGGATGCCAGTAGGGAAGGCTGGCTTCCTCCTGTCCTCTTCCCCTCCGTCTGTCTGTGTGTCTGCCTGACCTCCCCCTGGGGAGGAGAGGACCTAGACCGTCAGCCACCGTATCCACAGGGGGCTTTGAAGACAACCAGTAGTCCTGCCCTTGCCCTGTCTGGGGACATGGTGACACTTTGACTCTAGGTTGAGTCCTGGCAGCCCCCATGCATGGCTAGGGACCCGCTCAGGGCCCGTTGTGGGGCAAGACTGCAGCCATTCACGGACTGGGCTCTGCATGAAGGTAGGCATCTGCAAAAGCATCAGGTCTAGTGAACACTGAGGCCCATCGCCTTCATTTCCTCTTCCCAGAGTAGGCTTCTTTTCGGGACATAAGTCCCTCTGTGGCACTGATGCAGCCCTCTTGGGCCTGCGCCCCTCCCCACTTGGACAGCTCCACGGTGTTTCCCAATCCTGACCCAAGTTAGGGATGCGAGGATGCGAGCAGAGACAATCCAGCCTGGTCTGGGCCATTCCTCAGCCTCACAGGGCAGCTGCAGTCCTTGGACCAGTGGCAGAAGCTTGTCTTGCCCCTGGCTCTGGATATCCTCCCCTGCAAGCTGACCTGTGCCCAGACAGGCCTAGGTGGCCATAGGGGTGTTAAAGTGCTTCCAGCCAGGGATGCCCCAAGCCCAGACTTCTTCAGCAGAGACATGGGGCCACTATGCTATTGCCCAGATGCCACTGGCCATTGCCAAGGGTGCCAACGAGAAAAGTCTGCCCTCCCTGGACAGCATCCTCTCCTCTCGCTGTGCAGAGGCATGTGGGATTGTCTGCTGGGAGGCCAGGATCAGGCATCTGTGTCCCTAGCCTGCTGTGCATACTTTCCTGGGGTTCTCTGGGCCTCAGTTAACCCCCAGAGCCAAATGAGCCATGCAGGTCTGCTGATAGCTGCTCCACGCAGAGTGGCTGGTCTCGAGGATGGGCCAGGGCAAGTGTTCCAGCTGGACAAGGGTCTGGAGAGCTGGTCTGGGGCTGTGTGTGGGTAGAGGCAGGCATGTAGGCACAGAGGTGGGGAATGCCCAGGTTTGTGAAGGCCCATCAGTGATGGCGGGGGGGGGGCACGGGGTACATGGGTCAAGGCAGGGTGGAGTCTGTGGCTGGGGAGACAAAGCCTGACTGCAGGATCTCACTGGGGTCACTGGTGGCACCCCGTGCATCTGCTGCTGTCTCCCCAGGTGTAGGGGCTGGGGGCTGGCACAGCCAAACTGCAGGACCCCTGGGCCCTCCTGCTCTGTGGCCGGCAAAGACTGCTGGTCCTGCCACGTGGCTCCTCAGACCTGAGGGGTCTCTCAGAGCCCCTCCCCTGCCAATAGCTGGGGCGGCTTCCTTATGGCTTCAAATGGGGCACGGTGGGGCAGCTCGGGCTGGCCTGGGCTCCCTGAAGCTGCTGTGAGCTGACAGCCCCCAGCCCACCTTTCCCCGCTAAGTCCACAGACAGTTCTCAGCCTTTCTAGCCTCCCTCTGCCAGCTGTGGCCCCGCCACCCTCACAGGTCCTGGCTTGGGACCGCCACTGCCACCTCTGGCCTCAGGACTCACTGGACAACCAAGAGGAGAGCCTTCCGCTCCCTGCAGGAGAGAGCTCCGTAATGCATGCAGCGCCTTCCAGACATACATTTACAATCTCACACTTCATTTTTCTTGGACGCAATCTCTGTGCCTTTAAACATGTCATCACTCTCTGTACCCCCCATTACCCCTTCCCAGCACTTCCCGGGTGTGGGAGGCAGGCTTCAGGTGGAGGCCCTGCAGGCTGCACCCGGCTGCAGTCGCTGGCGGGGGCTGCCCCCCCGCCCCAGGTGGCCCTGCAGCCTGGGTGGGCTGGGGCTGTCTTTGCGGAGCCAGCCCTGCCACTAGGGAGGTGGCGAAGCAGGGTGTGAGCAGATGAAGGCTAGGGAGAACACCCCCCCCCAAGAGGGGTCCCTGACAAGGGAATGATGTGAGGGTGGGGGTGTCTGCAACATGACATCACGACTCAGAAAGAGCCACAGCTCCCTGGAGTTACATGGGCCTCTGATGGGGAAAACTGAGTTCCCTGAGAGGTGGTGACTTCTCCAGGTCAGGCCCCGTGTCCTCCCCACCCATCCCTCCCTCCCCAGGCAAGACTGGACATGCCCCCCGGGGTGGCATGTCCTAGACAGGCAGGAGCCCAAGAGCCGCTGGCTCCCAGTGGTCACGGTGAGGTACGGTGCCCACATTCCCACCCCCCACCGGCTTTGCCTCCGCTCAATTCCAAGACAGCTCAGTGAGTGGCAAATTCTAGAGCCCCCAGCCCAACCTCTGGAGGTGCCCAGACCCCCAGATCCAGGCTCACCGCGCCCAGAGGCTGGTCCTCCAAGGTGAGACAGGCTGATGGGGAGTAGGCTCAAGAGCAGCCGCCCGGCGTAGAGCCTGGCTAGTCCAAGGGGGTCTCTAACGTGATCGGGAGGGTGCGTTTCCTGGGAACCTACAGCGCAGCCCAGACCCCACAGCTGTGCTGTGCTCTCTTCCTTGGTATATGCGCTGCTGACACGGAGAACCCTGGCCGGGGGCGGGGGGGGGGTGCTTCTGGGGGGTCCTCCTTGAACCCAATCTGGCGTCTGTTTAATTTGGACTCTGGGGTCTCTGACGCCGCTTCGTTTCAGCAGTGTCTCCGCCATGTCCACTGGGGTTCCTCTCGCCTCTGGCCACGCCAGACCCCTTTGATCCCCGAGCTCTCTGCTGCGGGCTGTCGCTGGACAGAGGCTCTGAGAACGGGGTCGCCCGCGCACCGACTCTGGAGGCGACCTCAAGCCTCCAGTCTCTTTAATAAGGACGAGGAGACAGAAGTCCCAAAGGTTAAGCGACTCGCTCAGCCTTTGCCCCTCCGCTGGCCAGGTCGCCTCATTCCCAGGGAGCAGCGCCCCTGCGGCCTCGCTCCCGGAGCGATCCGGCATCGCAGAGCGCGGGCATCACCTGTCGCGGGGGCTCCTCGTCCACGCGAATTCCCAGGGGAGCAGGCGCGCGCCCTCCGGTCGGGGCTGACCCCGGGTCCTCCATCACCCACCCCACCGCCCGCGCCCCAGCCTCGGGCTCCGCCCCGCCCCCGGGCTCCGCCCCGCCCCCGGGCCCCACGCGCCTCCCGGCCCCGCCTCGCGGCCGCCCTGGTTACCCCCTGCCCTGCCGGCCGCCACGAGCCAGCGCCCCGCCCCGCCCCGCCCCGGCCCTCCGCGCGCCCCCGCCACGCCCCGGCCCCGCCCCCGCGGCCGCCCCACGCCCCCCCCCCGCCCCCCCGCCCCGCCCCCCCCCCCCCCCCCGCCCGCCCCCCCCCCCGCCCCGCCCCGCCCCCCCCCCCCCCCCCCGCACTCCCCCGCCCCCCGCACTGCTCCGCAACCCCCCCGCGCTCCGCACCCCCCGCGCCCCGCCCCGGCCCCCGCCCCCCCCGCACTGCTCCGCAACCCCCCCGCGCTCCGCCCCGGCCCCCGCCCCCCCGCACTGCTCCGCACTCCCCCGCCCCCCGCACTGCTCCGCACCCCCCCGCGCCCCGCCCCGGCCCCCGCCCCCCCCCCGCACTGCTCCGCACCCCCCCCGCGCCCCGCCCCGGCCCCCGCCCCCCCCGCACTGCTCCGCACCCCCCCCCGCGCTCCGCACCCCCCCGCGCTCCGCCCCGGCCCCCGCCCCCCACACTGCTCCGCAACCCGCCCCCCGCGCTCCGCCTCCACGCGCGGGGCGCGCCCCGACACCCGAAGGGCCGGGCGGCGGCGCGGCGGGGCGGTGCACTCGGCTCGGGTTTCGGCCCGCCCCCGGCGCCGGCGTGACCCCTCCTTGGGCGCGGGCGGGCCGGGCCCAGCTGGCCGGCGCCCCGCCCCCGGCCCGGCGCTCCGGGCGCTATAAGAGGGCGGCGGCCGTGGGGCGCCCTGCGCGGGGCCGGGAGCGCGATGGTCAGCCGCCGAGGCGCGGCAAGATGCTGGATGGGCCCCTGCTGGCGCGCTGGCTGGCCGCGGCCTTCGCGCTGACGCTGCTGCTTGCCGCGCTGCGCCCCTCGGCCGCCTACTTCGGGTAGGTGCCTCGGCGGCCCGGCGGGCAGGCAGGCGGGCGGGCGCGCGGGGACGGGGACGCGGCGCGGGGCGCGAGGCGGGAGGCCCAGGTGCGCGGGCCGGCGGCTGGCGGTGGCCGACGCGGGGCCGGGCGCTGTTTGTTTGCGGCGTGCGCGTTGCTCGGTCAGCGAGTCAGTGTCCTCGCGGCGCTGCGTGGGGAGATGGGCCGGCGTGCCCTACGGGCTGGCACGGGGCCGCGGTCCTCCGTGACCCCGGAGTCGTCGTCGCCGCGACGCACCCGTGCGCCGGCCTCCCTGGAGCACGGGGACCAAGCCTGGTCCTGGCTTCGCGTTAGGCCGCCGGGTTCTGGTGGAACGGCTGTAGCCTCTCCTGGCCCCTGCCCATCCACCCGCCTTGCAGCCTCCCCCTCCTTTCTCTGCTCCAGAAGTTAATTTAACAACAACAAAAAAATACGTACAAAATCCAGATGTTCCTTGCACGGAGCCCCAAAGGGGAAAAAAAATCCCTCCAAGCTGGAGGAATTTATTTTTCTTGCGCTTTGCTTCTTACGCCCGCTCGGCCCGGCCCGCGGGAGCGCTTCTGTGGGACTGGCCGGGTGCGCAGGGCTGGGCGGTGACGCGCCGCCGCTGTCTCAGGGGTCGCTGCCCCACGCTGCCCCGCAGCAGCACTGTGCGTGGTTTCGGCGCGCCGCCCTCCGCCGGTCTTTCCTGCCCTACCTCGCCTCCGTCTCCCACATCTGGGATGCCCAGCCCGGAGACCTGGGGGGGACCCTCCCTCGCTGTGCCACGCAGATGGGCACCCCGAGGTCTGGGCTGGCACCGCGCGAACAGCCCTCTGGGGCCCTCAGCCTCCGCTCCTGCCGCCCGGCGCTGCCCCGGGGCCCCGGCCCACCCTCGCGCCCTGGCCCCTGCCCAGGGCGCCCCTTGGCGGCTCCTGGCTGCCGCCCTCTGCCCGTCACCTGTTCCCTAGCCCAGGGCCCGGGCACCGTCGCGCGGCCGCTGGCCAGCAGAGGGCCCCGTTGGTCCAGAAATGTGGCACGGCCAGGGCGGGGAGAGGCCACTGGGCGAGGAGCCCTGCAGGTGTATCCTGTTCTCAAAGAAAATAAAATATTTTCATGGGAAACTTTCCCTTTGTGTTTTTCTTTCCCCCCTTTCTCCTTCTGTTCCTTTCTCTTGGGTCATCTTCCAGGGTCAGCTCCGTGTCTCCTTCCCTGGAGACCCCACCCGCCAGCCCTCTCCTGGCTGCGGCAGTGGGCCCGGCCCTGCTTAGGGCCTGGGCTGTGCAGAGGCTGGCACGCCCCTGCACGCCATCTGTGCAGCCTTGCCTCGCCCTCGCGGGCAGAGGGAGGGTCAGAGGATGGCCGTCTGGCCGCAGGTCCACGGTGAGTCACGGCAGCCCGGCAGCCAGCTGTGCCTTCCCGCTCTGCCGCCGGCCCAGCCTCGGGTCTGCTTACTAGGCTTCAGACACACCCTACGCTTGTCTGCAGCATGTCTGCTGCCAGCCCTGCTGCTGTGTGGAGGGGAGGTGGGGGTCTTGGGTCCTGGGTCCTGGCCCCCCAACCCCCACCCCCACCGCAGGCAGCACGGGCATTCTGCACCTCTGGGGAACTCGCTGAGCTCTGTGGGCGTGTGGGGGGCATGCAGGGAGGGCTTGCTGTCCCTGGGCCTTCTCTGGCTGGTCCCCTTGCCCAGCGCCTTGTCTCCAGGGGGCGGTCCCATGGAGAGCATGGGTGGCAGACGTGCTGCTCTGGGGACAGCTGGCTCTGCTGGGGCCCCTGCCATCCCCCGGGCTCCTGGCAGGAGAGCTGGGTTCTGTGTGATGGACAGACGTCCTGGAGCAGGGGCAGGCCTGGTGCCAGCTGGAGGGAGAGGAGGAAAGGGTGCTGGTGCTAGAGGGGTCTTTACCCCTGGGCTCCTTGGGAGGTGATTCCCTGATTCCTGAGGAGGGGGCGAGACATGCTGTGGTCTATTCGATACGTGGAGGCCCAGGCTTTCTGGTCAGCAGTGACTTGCTGGGCCCCAGTCTGGGGCCTGTGGTCCTGGCCCAGTGATGTGGCAGGAGCTGGAAGACTGGGGGGAGCAGAGGCCCAAGGTGGGCAGGGCAGGGCAGGGGCTTCCCCCCAGCCTGGTGTGGAGACAGAGCAGGAGGCAGGAGCAGGGATTCAGGCTTTCCTCCTCCCTTCCCCCTCTCTGAAAGCTCTGCCTGGCACGAAGGCTTGCAAGCAGGCAGGGCAGCTCCAGTTACAGCCCAGAAACCGAGAGAGGCTGGCCTGGGGTGGGGTGGGGGGTGTCACGTGGGCAGCAAGAGCCCTCCCTGCCCCCTCCTCGAGGCTGCAAACCCAAGCCACCCTGCTCCTGTTGCCCTGTCTGCCTCTGGCTGCTAGGCAGGACCCGCCAGGCTGCTGCCTGGCCATGGGGACGGGGCTCTTCTCTTTTCCTCCGTGGCCTGGCCCTGCTTCTTGGTGGTGTGATTAGCAGGTGGCGTTTCCATCTGGTTCTCCAGGGGCCTAGACAGCCTCGTCCGGTGCCCTCCTGGAAGGGGGTGTGTGCCTGGCTCCAAGCAGAAAGGGGCCAGTCCCGGGTCTCCTGGTGAGTTTGGGAAACAGGCTCAGAGTCCCACCTCCCCATCCCTGTGGACCTGGGTGGGCTGAAAGCTCCGCCTGCACCCAGCCCTGCCCCTGGTGTTACGGATAAGAGGATGGAGCTGAGGGGTGTCCTGTGTCTGCTGAAGATCCATGCAAGAAGGGATGCCCTCTGACCCAGGCTGAGGCGCTCTGCTGTCCCCGCCTAGCATGGAGCCAGGGCCTGGGTCCAGCAGAGAGGGTGCCATGCTGCCCTTTCTTAGAGATCCCTAGGGTGCCAATCCTGCAGCCGTGGAGACCCCTTGCATCCGGGAGCTGCTTCGGGCTTCTACGGTGGGTAGTCTTTTGGGAACTAATAAAGGCTCCCATGGACCCTCTCAGGGTTGGTCCTGGTACCCTGCATTCTATGAGACACCTTGGCCGGCTGGCTTGGGGCAGCAGGACCCCACTGGGAGGTCTGTGCAGAGGAGGATGTGCGAGGCACGGTCCTGGGGGTTCTCATGCTGGCCGGCCGTTGGTGTGTAGGGGTGCTCAGAGCCTGTCTGAAAGGCAGTTGAGGGGCTCGGGGGCCAGCCGGGGTTTCTGCGATGGAAACAGCTCACATCCTGTAAACCCACCCCGTGAGAGCATGCAGCTCGGCGGTTTCTGGTACATCTACAAGGCTGTGCGGCCGGCACCTCTATCTAATTCCAGAGTGTTCCATCACCCCAGAAACCTCATATCCTGTCCCCGCCCCTGCCCCCCACCCCTGGCAACCGCTAATCCACGTTCTGTCTCTGGATTTGCCTGTTCTGGACATTTTACATAAGTGGAATCATACAGCATGTGGCCTTTGTGTCTGGCTTATTTCACCAAACAATCCATTCTCAGGATTCATCCACGCTGTGGTGTAAACTTGTGCTTGGTTCCCTCTGTGGCCAGATTATTATCGGTCGTGTGGACGCTCCACAGTCTTGTTCTTCCGTGCTCCTGTTGTGGGCACCCGGGGGGCTGGCCCCTTTCTGCTCTCATCCCGCTGCCGTGAGAGGCTTGCAGTTCTGCCGGGTGCGTGCTTCGAGGTGGGAGTGCGGATCCGGGGTGACTGTTTGGAGGAGCTGTTCTACTGGTTTGGCTGTGCCATCTTATGCTCCCAGTAGCAATGCAGAGGAGGGCCAGTATCTCCACACACTCACCAGTTCTAGTTATTTCTGTTATTTTTGTTGTTCTGTTTTGCTTTTTATTCTAGTCATCCCAGGGGATGTGGGGTGGTATCTTTGGTTTGTACGTTTGGTTTGGTTTGGGGCTTTGGTTTGTATGTCCCTGATGTCTGGCACCATGAGCATCCTTCGTGGGCATGCGGGTCGTCTGTATGTCCTCTTTGGAGGAATCTCAACTCACTTCCTTTGCCCCGCTCTAGGCAAGGTTGTGGATCTTTGTTGTTGATTTTTAAGAACTCTTTATATATCTGCATATATTATTGGGCAGAGGACAACCTGAACCAGGAGCTGGCACGCCGTCTCTCACCCATGTGTGCAGAAGCTGCTCGCGTGGGCCTCCACCAGGGATCATTATTCTCCTTGGCCGCCAGCGTGGCTGGGTGGTGCACATGACCATCTGTTTGCTATAGCCTGGTCTGGGGGCCCAGCCAAGGGTTCTGGGGATGTTCCCAAGAGGCTGCCCTGGTCCCGCTCTCCAGCACTGCTGTGCATGTCAGCACCAGGGGGCAGGGGGCAGGGGCCAGGGGGCAGGGGCACCCCTCTGCAGGAGCCTGGGGCCCAGCTGGGAATCCTGTGTGGTCAATGCCTGCTGCCTGCCTGGAGATGGTGTGTGCAGCAGATCCCTGGAGGAGGGAGGAGAGGGAGGGGCTCGGGGCAGGAGGAGGGAGCCCCCTGTAGAGCTAAGAGGCTGCTCACTAGGCATGTGGTGGGCCAGGTGCTCGGGGTCACCTGTTGGGGGAGCCAGCCTCCCGTGGCGGAGAAGGGCGGTGGGCAGCCGGGGGAGGTGTCCCGGTTATCTCAGGCGGTGGGAGCCGTGTAAGCAGCAGGCAGGACAGGTGTGCCCGGAGCAGCTGTGCAAGGCCTCAGGTCTAGCGTCGGTGGGGAGGTCCTGCAGAGGGGGGCCCGCAGAGGGGGTTGTGCAGAGGGGGGTCTGAGGTGGGAGCTGAGTAGGGGCCCACACAAGGGGCCACAGGGAATGTGTGAGGACCCTCGGGAGTGGCCCTGTGGGTGAGGGTGACGTGGGGAGGGGATGTGGCTCTGGGGAAGAGGGGATGCAGGGCAATGGTGGGGCAGGACCCTGGAGCAGGAGCAGGCGTGGGGAGGCAGGTGGATGGAACAAGTGGGCAGGGGTGGGGATGCAGCCCCGGATCCTCTCTGTTCTCCACAGTCTGTCCCTTCCTGTCTTGTCCCGGCCTGTCTGCTCTGCGGGCTCTGTGCCCCCAC